CACTTTCAATTTTAATTTATGACATGGCATTCCCAAAGGAGAAATACTATTAAAAATCAATGGAATCATCACTCAAATACGTGTGAAAATCTCCGAGTATATCCAAAATTTCTTCATTTAATTTTTGAACATGCTCATATTTTTGGACAAAGAATTGCACATTTAGATATATTTAAATATTATCTATAGATATACTATTTCCAAAGGTAGCTTAAGTAATAGGTTTGTTACAAATCATTTCACAGGGGATTTCAATAATATCCATTCCTAAAGGAAAATTGCTATCCAGTTTGCCATCTCCAAGTTTTACTAACGGTTCACTATAAGCAGAATCCTCTGATCTCATACTTGTTTTAAGAGACAACTTTCTGAAACATCCCCAAACATTGCAGTACTTTAAACTCGTCTGTACTATGGGCGATTGTATAGCATGTGGCACAATACTGAGACATTATTGAAAATCCCCTCCAAGAAGGAGAACTTTCCCACCAAATGCAACATTCAAATTCATAATTTCTCTTAGTAATCTGCCTCTGGGTGCTCCAGGCGCTCTGAGGGCGGGGTCCTCCCTCAGGCCTCGCCCTTCCCAGAAACAGCTGGGGAGGCGCCTCAGGGCCAGTGGGACTGATGGAAGTGTGTGTGGGGGGGGTGTGGCATGGAGGTGGTGCCTGCGCTTCTGGTCACTTGCACACTATGTTTTATACCACAGCATATGGCAGCGGCTGTGAAGGTCGCCACGGCAACCCAGCACTGACTGCAGGACTGACTTCTGGTTGGTTGAACCTCCAGTCATTACGGAGTTACGGACCCAGGGTTTTTATATATTAGGATAGCTGGACCCAGCTAGGTTTGCAAGCAAGTTCTATCAAACTTTTGAGAGACAGAGGATTCTGATACCATTTTCATGTTCTAAAGCAGTAATTTTCCACCAGTGTGCCATGAATATTTTTTTACTTTTCACTTTTTGCCATGATATTTTTTAAAATATATTTTATTGATTTTTTACAGAGAGGAAGGGAGAGAGATAGAGTTAGAAAATCGATGAGAGAGAAACATCGATCAGCTGCCTCCTGCACACTCCCCACTGTGGAGGTGCCCGCAACCAAGGTACATGCCCTTGACCGGAATCGAACCTGGGACCCTTGAGTCCGCAGGCCGATGCTCTATCCACTGAGCCAAACTGGTTAGGGCTGCCATGAGTATTTTTAAAACATGAAATACCTGACTAGTCAGAGGCACTGACCTCTTTTTCCTCAGATTGTCAAATTAAAAAATGACAACAGCTAACAGAACAATAACTGTCTGGTTTGAATGAATCAAAATTATACCTTTTTTTGTTGTTGGATTGGCAAAAAACACATTTTTGGTGTGCTGCAGAATTTTAGTAATTAGTTTATGTGTGTCAGGAGATGGAAAAGGTTGACTATCACTGTTCTAAAACATAGATAACCTCCCCTGTTCAATTCATGAAGCTAGAATTATCCTGATTCCAGAACCTGAAAAATATAGCAAGTACAAAAAACCATAGTGAATGTAAATATCAAATCCTAGATAAAAATACCAACAAGTTGAATCTAACAGCGTACATCATGACCAAATAAAGTTTATTTTAAGGGTGTAGGGATGGCTTAATATTAAGAAATATATCCAGAACTTACAATAAGACAAAGAAAAAATATAAGGCAAACGCATGCTGAAAATATCTTTGATACAATTCAATATCCATAACTGAGTTGAACAACTTTTTTACTTCCCCTTAGCAGAATAAAAAGAAGCTTCCTGAAAGAAACAGTAAAACACATCAGACTGCTTAACAGTAAACAATGGGACATGCCCATTCAAATCAAGAGCATAACAAGGTTTCTTGCTGTCGCCACTATTATTCAACACTGTTTTAGCCAATACCAGGACAACAAAAAGAGAGAAGAAGAGTAAATATTGGGAAAGGAAGAGCATAGTTTTCATTGTGACTCCTCCCGGGAAAAACCTAAGAAAATCTACTAAATTAATATTAAAAATTTTTAATGATAGCCAGACCCAAGAATATTTTTAAAAATCAATAGCTTTTCCCACATAGCATCAATAATCAATTAGAATATTTCATTGGGGAAATACTGACAATAGCAACAACAACAACCCATTTTAAAAGCAACCAAGTACAGATTCATTTCTCTAGACCAGTGGTTCTCAACCTTCCTAATGCCGCGGCCCTTTAATACAGTTCCTCACGTTGTGGTGACCCCCAACCATAAAATCATTTTCGTTGCTACCTCATAACTGTAATGTTGCTACTGTTATGAATCATAATGTAAATATCTGATATGCAGGATGTACTTTCATTGTTACAAATTGAACATAATTAAAGCACAGTGATTAATCACAAAAACAGTATGTAATTATATATGTGTTTTCCGATGGTCTTAGGTGACCCCTGTGAAAGGGTCGTTCGACCCCCAAAGGGGTCGCGACACACAGGTTGAGAACCACTGATCTAGACACATAGCCAAATGGATTCTACTCTAAGCATGATATCCCGTCCTCACGAGTGACAGCCTGAGCTGCTTGAGGAAGAAAAGGAACACTCACCGTGATGAGGGGCGCTGTCCTGGCTGATGGGGAAGGTGGTCTGGACTCACACGTGGGCCAGAGGCTGGTCCACCATTTCAGAGCCAGCAAAGCCTGAACGGAAGAGGTTCCTGCCACAGCCTCAGCCGGCAGCCTGGAGTCTGCTCTGGGCTGACGCACTGGCCACATCTGTGTGACTCAAGAACAGGGGTGGGGGTGGGGGGGGGCTCCTTTTTTGGGTTTGGAGGGTGAGGGTTGTCAGGGGGCTGGGGAGAGACTCTGGAAATGTGGGCCTGACGAAGGCCTGGGAGAGAAGATGGAGAGGCACTAAGGAGGCTGAGCGGGGTCCGGAAGGAGGGAGCGTTCAGTGGAGCGCCTCCCTAAGTTTATAGCAAGAGGCCTTCCCCACCTTGGGCCGTGCGCGGGGATGACTGGCACATACCGCCACCTCTCCTGGTCCTCTTGGCACTGCCCCGGCCTGCTGTGCTGGCTGCTTTTTGCTCCACTTCCTTCCCTAAATTGACTCTCCACCCTGCTCTCTGCCCAGAAGGCTGACCTGCAAGGTTACTGCAGCAGGTTCCCCTTTCCTCTGGCTTCCAACTGGGTTCGGCAGGGGGCCGAGGGAGGGAGGGAGGACGTGCCAGCTCCAGGCAGCGCCTCCCCTCACCTCTTTGGGCGGAGGGGAGCTCACCCCCGGCACACTCCCTGTGCTTTCTTACACCTGCTCACACCCAGGGCATTAGTCTCGTTAGTAAGCCTCCCTCGAATGACCCTAATTTGGGTGGCCCCCCTATTTCCCTGCCAGACCCTGACCAAAAGAAACACTTGCCTGACTGCTCGGTAAAGCGACTGCCCAGCAGAATTCGGAGGGAGAGTGGTCTGGGGATAACAGGTGAGGCTGAGCTTCGCCCGATTACCTGGGGAGATTCTGGCCAACATGGGGCCTCCACCTGTGCATCATTAGGCAGGCACGTGCCAGCCAGCAGCCGCCATCCCAAACATGAAACCATGTTCCCGCACGGCCCTCACAGGGCACGAGGTAAGTCCCGCTCCCACGCGGACAGCGCGGGGCCCTGTCCCCATCCATGCAGCGATGAACGCACAGGGACGGCTCTCGTAGGATTCTGCACCCACTGGTAGAGTCAGGTGCACTGCGGTGACTTTATTCTTTGCTTATATTTCTAGGTACTTTGGGGAATGCACATGTTATTTTTATGATGAGAAAACAATACTAGTAGTTTTGGAAAAAATGAGAGAAGGTGGAGGCGTGGCAAGGGTGTTAACAAACTTCCCGTGTGGTGTGAAGGGTCCCGGCCTTACCCTTACCCTCACCAGCCTACCTCCTGAGAACTCAGCTCCACCGTAGACGTGGCATTGGTTCTCTGTGCACCGTTTTGCTCTGGGCCAGTGAGAGGACGAGGTGAAAAGCACCGTGGAAACGAAAGTGCTGGAGAGCTGATCAGTGACTTTTATGATTC